TGTGAGGGACCGAGGACAGACAGGGGCTCCGTCCCACCTCTAACTCGCTGGGTAACCGTGGGCAAGCGACAAGTTCCCAGGGCCCTGCTGTGCATAAAATGTGCAAGTGTCTAGGAGGCAGGAAAGAGAGGACAGAAGACATACTCAGGTGAGAGGACCAAGGGCCGGCCAGGGCAGGTACTTGTCACCTGGGCCGGCACAGGGCCTACATGAGACAGAGTGAAAACCAACAACTCAGAATCCAGAAAAAGGACAACTTCGATGGAAAGGGAACCAAGGGCCTGACAGGACATCCACAAAAGAAGGCAGAGGAATCAGGAAGAGCAGCTCAGCCTCACCGAGCAGCTGAGAAATGCCACTTAAAACGGGGTGCCGCCCTGGCTGGTTTGGCTCAGGGGATAGAGCGTTGGCCTGCGGACTGAAGGGTCCTGGGTTCGATTCCGGTCAGGGGCACATGCCTGGGTGGAGGGCTCAACCCCCAATGGGGGGCGTGCAGAGGCAGCCGATCAATGATTCTCTCATTGTTGATGTTTCTATCTCTCTCTCCCTCTCCCTTCCTCTCTGAAATCAATAAAAATATATATTTTTTAAAAACGGGGTGCCTCCCAACCACCAGCTGCAAGGATGACGCCTCGCACTGTGAGCGCCTCAAAGCGCCGGGCTGGAGCCAGGAACACGCCTGTTTCAGGGCTCACTCAGACTCTCTGGGAAGCCAGCGCCGCACCAGGCCTCGCCAGGTGGAGGTGGGCCTGGCCCTGCCCTCGGGGAAGCTCAGAGGTGACTGGGGAAGTCACAGTTGAAGCAATCACCCCACAGACCAAGGCAGGATTGAAGACAGGGCAAAGGCCACGGGTAAAGGTGCCCCGCGGGGGAGCAGGAAGGAGAGCTCAGCGGGGAGGCAGGTCGTGGGTGGGCCAGCAGGCTCCTCCCTTCCCAACCCCGTGATCAGGATGATGCATGTTGATCACTTATAATTGATCATAGTGGAAATATCTACAAATATTTACAGATCGGGGCTCTTGTTCCCTCCAGAGACTCAGTCACTTAACGATGACCAGCACGCAGTGTGCGTGTGCGTGTGCGTGTGTGTGTGTGTGTGTGTGTTGTTAGAGAGTGTTTTAGAGAAAAGGGACATTTAGGCTGAAACCTGAAGGATGCATAGGAGTTCGGTAGAGGGAAAGAACACAGGCAGAGAGAACAGCATCTGCAAAAGCCACAAAGTAGGAAATGGGCAGAAGACAGGGTGCGTTCCACAAAGTGGCTGGAGAGCAAAAAGTAAGAAGGGGCAGGGCCAGGGCCGGGGTGTGCCGCACGGGCCCGGGCAGAGGTGGAGGTTTCCAGCAGGGGCGGCCCTGGGAGGGTCTGAGCAGAGCGACATGCCCAGGTCAGTCAGGGTCCAGGAGGAACCCTGTCAGGACCACCTATTCTCTGTGCTGCTGTGGGCCAGACCCACAGCACCCTTCCCGCCTCCTCCCAGCTTAGCGTCCAGGCCCCTTCCTCTCCTTGGCCAGCTGCTTCTCTCTGCCCTTCCCAAGCCCATCACAGCCCACCGACCAATCACAGGGCCCACAGCTCGGGCCAGAGATTAGCTGGCTCCAGGGGAGGCCGTGCTACTTAGAGCAGGAGGAGAAGGAGGTACCCCCACCCCTCTCTTCTGTGGAATCTCAGGGCTGGGGGGGCACAGGGTAGGCATTGCCTGCAGCCTGCCTGGAAGAGGAGGGCAGGGTCTGTGTGCTGACTGCAGCGGGGACAGAGAACGGCCCTGTGACCAACCTGCTCGCCTCCCTGCAGCCACATCTCTGTGGCTGGGTGAGAACCGTCCACACATCCCCCAGGGAGCGGAGCGGAGAGCTCAGCCAGTTCTGGTCTGGATCTCACCGCTTTGCCGCCAAGACATCCCCAGCCAAGTTCTTTCCTGAGCAAATAATCCAGCCAGTGCCAACAGTCTCACTTCCTTGTTTTCCTTTGATTATTTGAACTTCTCTTTACTATATGTCTGCCCTATTTTTGTAAGTCAAGAACAAAAACAAAATCACAAAGCTATTTGTTTTTGAAAAGACAAATCCAAAGCCTTCCTTTTATTCCACGGCCACGCCTGGCGTGGGTTCTGATCTCAACCAGACAGACTCCCGCTGGCTCTGCTCTGCCCTCACAGTCCAGGAAGCCTCGGCCCCGCCTGGGACACCGGGCTCCTCGGGGCTGCCCTGGGACCCCCTTTTGCTAGGACACCGTGCCCTGGGAGCAGGTCCCCACCCAGGCAGGCAGGCAGGAGCTGCACGTGGACTTTGGTCCTTGCCGGAAGAGCACTCAGCAGCTCTGTGCCAGGACTTTCTGGGTCCTGACTGCGATTAGGATCTTTATTGAGCATCCATTTGCCCTGGCAGCTTGGCATGGGCACAGCAGCCACCTGGGTGGGGCACAGCAGATGCCTGGGTAGGGCCGCAGCACGTCCTGAGCAGGAGACTGCCTGAGCACCAACCTGGCCTCGGTGACCTCCAAGCTGTGTGGCCGTAGGCAAGTCGCTTCCTCTCTCTGAACCTCATGCGGCTGCCTCTTCTGTAAAGAGATGCTGGCTGGCAGCTACCCATAAGCCATCTCTCCCGCTGGAAACGGCACAGGTGGTCCCAGTCTTGGGGGGAAACACGGGCCTGCCCGCAGGAGGTAACAGCTGAGCACTCAGCATTCCCTCCATTTCACCTGCACAACAACTCTGTTAGGAAGGTATTACCACGAATCCCTTTTAACGCCAACAAGCCTCCGTTTCCTCATCTGTTTATTGACCTGCCCAAAGATCACATGGCTAAGGAGTGCGTGTTGAGGTCCTTGCCAGGAGATCACTCCCCAGCCACGCCCCAGACCCCTGCAGCCTGCCCCAAAGAGACAAGGACCCGTGGCCTGAAGCCACGGAGCTCCCTCACCCTGCCCGGGTCCACGAGGGAAGCCAGGGGGGCTTCCTGCAGGAGGTGGAACTGAGCAAGAGCCCATTGGGCAGAGCAGGGGAGGACATTCAGGCAGGGGAATAGCAAATGCTAGGGAGGGAGGGAGAATGGCACAGTCCAAGTTCACTGGCTTAAAACTAGATGCAAAGGGAGGACCCACAGCACCCAGTGGGAGTGGAACTCCCTGGAGAACCAGCCCTTAGAACATGTGCAGTCCCTGGCCTGGCCAAGATGCCTCCCTCTCCAAGTCCTCCAGCCTTCCTGGCCACCGGGCCAGCAGGCGTCCAGGATTGGTGCCAGGGCCCGTGGCTCCTCTCTTTAGAGCGTTCCTTCTCCGTGACCTGGAGTGCTGGGGACCACACTGAGCACCTTCCCGTCCTCATACCCACTCCGCCAGGCAAGGATGAATGTGCCCACTTTACAGACATCACCATATATCCCCCAGCCTTCTCCACCTGGGCCAGGTGCCCAGTGAGTCTCGTAAGGGAAGGTGGGGGGAAGCGGAGGAGCCAGGGGGCGTGACAGGAACGCAGCCTTGCCTTGGACCTCCCGAGGGGCAGCAGCCCCTGCTCTCGGTGGGCGCTGGTGGGAGGGAGGCCCAGATGATCACCAAGGCCCTCCCAGCCCCCCCACCCCAGGAAGTTCACAGGCGCAGGGGACCATGCTGCCACAGCTGAGACCACAAACAATGCTGGACTATCGCTCACCTCATAGGAGAAACACACAAAGGCACAAACCCACCCAGGGGTCTGCAGCCCCTATCCTCCAGCTAGAGCAGGGTAGTCACACACTAACCACTCAACAGGCCCAGCGTCTGGAAGGTTTAAAGTAGTGGGAAGCATTCACCCTGGCCAGGTAGCTCAGTTGGTTAGAGCGTCGTCCCCAGAGGCCAAGGTTGCTGGTTCCAACCCTGGTCAGGGTACATACAAGCATCAACCAATGAATGCATGAATACGCGGAACAACAAATCAATGTTTCTCTCTCGCTTGCTCTCCTTTCCTTTCTCTCTCTAAAAATCAATAACAATTCTAAAAAGTAATAGGGTGCATATTTCCATAGTCTTGGGGTGGAGGGAGGAGACACCAAGGGACAAGCACTAAAGACAAAAACGAGTCCTTTCAAACGCATTAAGAAAACAGTTCCCGTGATCACAAAAGATGAAAATTGTAAAGGAGAAAATGCATTGCGACAGGTGAGACACGGGTTAAAAGCCGCCAGTACCCAGAGCTAACAATCAACAAGCAACAGACCAACCCGAGAAAAGAAGAAACGACCCTGGCCAGTCAAACGCGAGGACCGGTTGTTAAATAAATGTACATACATGGAACCCACGGCGAATACTACTGCATTCCCAGTCCCGTGGCAGAGAGGAGGAGTGCTGCCACCCGGGTGTGGGAGGGAGGCAGGAGCCTGTCCACGCGCGGCCGCCGCCTGGCACTGTGGGGGCGATTTCGGCGGCATCTCATCAGAGCTGTTTGGGGGGTGTGGGCCCTTTCTCCCTTAACCCCGGGGCCAGAGGAAGGCGCTGGCACGCGAGTCCGCAGGGTGAGCATGTGGGTAAAAATGCCCTGGCGGGACACTCGACGAGAGAGGGGCGGCCACCGCGCGTCCAGCCACAAGGTTCAGGGCAGGATCTCTGGTTTTTAAAGCAGCTGAATCTCCGGTTCACATTAGCTTCCATCCAGGTGCCCGTCCTGCCTACACTCGGTTTGGGGTGGGCGTGGCGCCCTCTCGGCCCGGTGCCCAGGGGACCAGCGGCCCCCGGGCTGCTTCCCTGGGCGGGGGCAGCGCCTCCCCGCAGCGGGTCCCTGTGGCCAACCCCTGCGCCGCCGCGTCCCGCGTCCGGGAGCCCCAGGTGTGCGCCCGGGTCCCCGCCGGGACGCAGCAGCTGAGACGTGCTCCCCGGCGCACGGGTCCCCGTGTCCCGGGTCCCGAGACGGAGGCAGAGACAGGGCGGGGGGACTCGAGGGGACACTGGCGGAGGGGAGCCGCTCCCACCCCCCAACCCCCACCCCCGGAGCAGGGGTAGGGGAGCGCCCAGGGGCCTCGGGCGGCGCTCACCCAGCATCTCCTTCCGGCGCTGCGTGTGCGGCTGGTCGGTGTAGACCCACTCGAAGTCGCTGCGACCCGCGCTGTTGCCCATGGTGGGCCGGGAGCGCGCACGGAGCAGGGAGCAGGGAGCAGGGAGCAGGGCAAGGCTCGGCTGCGCTCCACCTGTCGCCGGCTCCGCGCCGCGCGGGGCCAGTTAGGGGCTGGGGGCGGGGACTCCGGGGGCGGGACTGCGGGGCGGGGACTGCGGGGCGGGGACTCCGACGGCGGGGTGCGCCCGGGACTGCCTGACCTGGGCGGTGGCACCCCGGCCGGGAGCACGGGTCGCGGAGGCTCTCGGGGTCTCAGTGACCTCCGTGGGGAACTGGAACTGTGAGCGCGCGACCCGCCGCAGTCCCTGCCCCGAGGTGGTGCTGGGGCGCCGGGTGCCCTCGCGGCCCGCCCAGGGGCGCCATCCTAGTCTCCCTGAGCCCCCACCCACTCGCGTTCCTGCTGCTCACGGCGCACTGACGAGTCGGTAAACCCGAGGTGCTCGCGGAAGGCCCGCCACGCCGCGCTCCCTCCCCCCTCCCACTCCTCCAGGCAAGAACGCGGAGGCCGGTGAGGTGTCCCTGACACACTCCTCGGAGCCGGACCGCCCTGCCTTGGGGGACACGGGACACGAGGCATTAGGGACAAACAGGGAATCTGAAGACAGGATGCGCTTTGGTTAAAAATAGTGTGTTGAGCTCCGCTGGTGTGGCTCAGTGGTTGAGGGTCCACCTGTGAACCAGGAGGTCCCGGTTGGATTCCCAGTCAGGGCACAGGCCTGGGTTGCAGGCTCCGTCCCCAGTAGGGGATGGGAAGGAGGCAGCCGACCAATGATTCTCTCACCATTGACGTTTCTTTCTCTCTCTCCCTCTCCCTTCCTCTCTGAAATCAATAATTAATAAATAAATAAATAAGTAAGTAAATATTAAAAATTAAAAGAGTGTGTCAAGCCCTGGCTGGGTAGCTCACTTGGTTGGAGCATTGTCCCCATATGCGAAGGTTGTGGGTTCGATCCCAGGTCAGGGCACATACAAGAATCAACCCATGAATGCACAAATAAGCGGAACAACAAATCCATGTTTCTCTCTTTCTCTCTCAAATCAATAAATAAAACTTGTAAAAAACAAAATAAATAATGGTGTGTCAATATTAGTCAATTAACTGTAACAAAGGCACCACACTGTTATGCGATATTAAAATAAAGTTGGGTGCAGGAAGCACCTACATCCAGTCTTGACTGTAGTGTGTGCTGCCCAGCAGGAAGTCCCCTTTCTGCCCCCCATTTGCAGAAAATGGACCAATGCATGGGGCACAGCGCCTTCCAGCCCCTGAAGCCAGCGGAGTGTGACAGCCTGCCCCAGAGCCGCCCACCTGGAGGGAGGCGCTCGTGAAAGAGGGAAGAGCTTCCCACCCCGGGAAACAGGGCTATTGGAGGGGCAGAGCCGGGCTGAGCTCAGAGGACACCTCTCCCAAGAGACGCAAAAGGCTGTTTCATCGGTGAAGTGAATAAATAAAGCAGAGATGGACCAGTATAAATTGCTTATTTAAAAAACAAAAAACAAAAAACTAGCCCTGCCAGCGTGGCTCAGTGGGTTGAGCGTCTTCCTGCTCGAGGAAAGGTCACTGAGTCTGAGTCCCAGTCAGGGCACCTGCCTGGGTTGCAGGTTGGATCCCCAGTCCATCCGGATATGTGCAGGAGGCAACCAATCGATTTTTCTCCCTCCTCCTCTCCCTTCCTCTCTCTCTAAAATTAATGAAAACTTATTTTTTAAATATATTTGTATTGATTTCACAGAGGAAGGGAGAGGGGGAGAGAGATAGAAACATCATTGATGAGAGAAAACCACTGATTGGCTGCCTCCTGCATGCCCCACACTGGGGATGGAACCCGAAACCCGGGCATGTGCCCTGCCCTGGAGTAAAACCATGACCTCCTGGTTCATCGGTCCATACTCAACCACTGAGCCACCACCGGCCAGGCTAATATATATATATATATATATATATATTAATAAAAATAAAGAAAAAATGAAAAGGGGAAAACCAAACAACCCTATTTTGAAATGAAAGACAAGAGACAAGCGCCCCAAGCTCAGCTGGTTGGAGCTGATGTTGGGACAACCACCGGGATTGATGTATCTCTCTCACATAGGTCTCTCTCTCTCTCTCTCTCCCCCTCTCTCTCTCTCTCTCTCCCCCTCCCTCCTTCCCTCACACCCTCCCTTCCTCCCTGTCTAAAGTCAATTAACAAAAATAAAATAAAATGAAAAAGGGAAAGAGACAAGGAAGCCAGAATCCCAGCCTCCATCTAATGAAACTTCTAGAAGGGCAGAGAATGGAGGAGAGGCCCCATTCACCCCTCCCCTGCCTTGTTTTCTTTACGGAAGTCATCTCTCCCGGAGATTATAGTTACAATGTAATTACATGTGACTATGGCTATCCTTATCTGAATAATTTTTTATAGCGTGTATTTATTTATTGTTTATGCTCTGTTCCCTCTTCTGGGCTGTCTGCGCTCTTGGGGTCACACCTGGTAGCCATATCAGTTTCTAGCAAAGGAGTTGGGGCACTTAATACTGATTTGCTAAATGAAAGAATAAATATGTCCTGTCAAACAAGTCCCATTGAGGGCCCCCAGATCAGAAGAAAGACAGGCGCGCAGGCTGAAGCCCGGGACCCGGGCCTCTCCTCCTGGGCACAGGCCCAGAGAAATGAAAACCTGTCCCCACAGGTGCAGGGATGTGCGGGACCGCGTTACCGGTAAGAGCCCGGCCCTGGAGACAGCCCGCCCTGCCCTCCCAGAGCGTGGAGAGGCGTCTCACGGTGGTGTGCACGCTGCAATGGTGCGCGGCCACAAAACAAACACTGCTGCCCACACCCACGCGGTGTGTCACCGAGCCTCTTTATTTCCTGTGATTCTGCTGCTGTGACACGTTGGGGCGGTGCTGACCCTGAGGAGACGGCCCCTCCCAGGGAAGCCAGTTCCAGAGACAGTAAATGCCTGACCTGGGAGGGTGCCTTCATGGGCACACTGCCCAGGCCGGTGCCCACACGCAGGGCCGGTGTCCCCCACCTTAAGCACCAGGCCTGGCGCCACACGCTGGGCAGACGCCTGGAATAAACTTATTCAAGCAAGCCGATACTAAGCCTGCTCGCCCTCCTCCTGTCCCTTCCTCCTTCCCGGGAAGCCTGGTGAGAGGCTCCTGCCCAGCTGCTGCTCCCTCCCTCTGCTCCTGATCACCCTGGTGCTTAGGGGATGGGGGGCGGGGGGGAGGTCCTTCTGGGAACTATACCTAGCAAGCCATCTTGTGGATGGCAGTCCCCTCCTAACCGGTTGGTTACATATAATTAAATAAGAATGAAGCCAGCCCTAGTTGGTTTGGCTCAGTGGATGGAGCTTCTGCCAGCAGACTGAAGGGTTCCAGGTTCGATTCCGGTCAAGGGCACATGCCTGGATTGCGTGCTCGATCCCCAGTGGGGGGCATGCAGGAGGCAGCCGATCAATGATTCTCTCTCATCATTGATGTTTCCATTTCTCCCTCTCCTTTCCTCTCTGAAATCAATAAAAATATATTTTTTTAAAAAATGAATGAAGCCTGCACAGCAGGGAGCAGGTGGCTGGCCTCAGACTGGGAATGACAGGCCACTAGCCTGCGGGTGGCTCAGGGAGTGGTTCCCGAGGGTGTCCCTGGCAGCCCGAGGTGCGCCGCCTGCTGGCACCACGGGCACCTGGCGTCCCTGCTGCTGCTGCACTTGCCAGGCGGCTGCGATTCCCTTTGGGACGGAGAAAGCTGGGCCTCCTGGGGTCCTGGCCTGAGCCTGGGCTCTGGGAGGATGTTCCGGCCCCTTTCCTGGCTGACCAGCTACGTTCAGGGAAGGCCCCTCCGAAGGAAGAGAAGTGGGACATCCTCCTGACCCTGAGCACGAAGCGGTAGGGAACTGAGGCGCCATGTGCACCATTCATCCTGCCCCTCCCAGGAGCCCAGCGGGGCGCTGTCACCACACAGAGTCCTGAAAGCACCCAGCTCCGGGACTGTGGCACCCGCAGGTCCTGTGGGAAGGGCCCTGATGGTTGTGGGTTTGTCTGGCTGCCGTCCTGAGTCCTCCCTGATCCAGGGGCAGGTGGGATCACACCTGTGGAGACTTGGACGGAGGGAGGTGAGGAGGAGCAGGGGGCAGAGGGGAAGGAAGGGGGGACCAGGAGGGGGGAGAAGAGTGTAGCCGGTCAAGTGGAATGAAGTTAACTAGAAGAGGACGTTCTGCCAAGAAAAGGCCGGGGCCTGCAAGCGGGCCACGTCAGAACGAAGTCTGGCACGCAAGATTTACTGTTCCGAGGCAGAATTTCCTTGGTGATGAATAGTCCATGAGGGCATGGAAAGCCAGGGAGGGTACACTGCTGCAGGTGGAAAGGGTCTTTGTATAACATAGGAAATGAATAGTTTAATGTATAACTTAGCTCAAATGATCTCATAGGCATGCCCGTTTTCCGTTGTTATTTGCTGTACTCCCCAAATAAAAGCCATGAGAGTCTTGGAGGTTTTGCTACAACGCCTGAGCGAGCGGTAGCCCTCTGCTTCTCTTAGCTCAGTCCTGCCTGCGGAACTCATCTCAGCGTCACCGTTCACCTGCAGACCACCTGCAAAGAGGGAGAGGAGGGGGCAGGGGAAGGAGAAGGAATTGTGGGGAAGAGTGAGGAAAAGGGGAAGGAGGAAGGTGAGGAGAGAGTAGGGGGCAGGAGGGAAGAGGAAGAATGGGAGAAGAGAAAGGAGGAACAGAAGGAGGGGAAGAAAAAGGAGAGAAAGGAGGAGGAGGAGTGTGGGGCAGGAGTGAGGAAGAGGAGAAGGGACCTTCCCAGGTAGAGGCTGTGGCCTAGAGGCCGGCTACAGGGCCCCTCTCCCTGCCCCCTTCTTTCCTATCCGCCTGAGATAGAAAACAAAGCCCACAGCCTCAGGAGGCTAAAAGCTTAAAACAGAAAAAAAGGAGGGTGGGAAGGGTTGAAAGGAAAAAAAGGAAGAAACCCTAGCTACAGGGAAAAGAAACTAAAGGTTAATAAATGTTACATATTTTATCTATATATATAAAAGCCTAAGTGATCGTTAGGACCAGTTGACTGGTTGCTATGACGATGCACTGA